TCTTTGTCCGGGACAACCACGCGTCAGTTTGATGGTGTGGGGTTGTATTACCTGGCATGGTGTTGGTACCATTTGTGTTGTTAATGGCAACATAAATGCTCAGAAATACATAGAAATCCTCGATGATATGCTTTGGCCTGTTATAGCCAGACATTTTCCGGGAAAACGGGACATCTTCCAAGATGACAACGCCCCTGTACATTGGGCCTGTGTAGTTCAGGCTTACAAGCGACAAAATGACATTACTGGAATGTTGTGGCCTGCACAGAGTCCAGATGCAAATATTATTGAGAACTGTTGGCTCTACCTGAAGAATAGACTTCAGGGATGCCGAAGAAACATTCAGTCGGCTGCCAACTTGAAATGCGAAGTGTGGGACATCTGGGAAAATATGCCCCTCGATTTCATCAGAAATCTTTATTCATCAATTCCAAGGCGGATGTTGACAATAATAAGGAACAAGGGACACATCACAAAATATTGAGGTAAGACTGTTTATTTAATGAGTTATGACACTTTGACTCCCGCGTAAATTTGTCATCAACAATCGGTCTGCCATGTTTGATAAAATTAATTTAGTAAATACACTATAATACTTCCACATATTACAATGTATATATATAAAATCATGCTGAACGTGCAGGCTGTACAAACCAACACTATCAGTTTACAGCAACCATGATCAGATGAACGCCATACCTTGAAACAAACCTTAGTTGTATGAGTATGAATATATATTACCATAGTTGTAAAAACTAATCAGTGAGATACCTGTCCACCCCTGAGGGTGTACTGGTACTTCTATTTTGAATAAATACCTTAAAAGAAGCAAAATAAATCAAGATGAGTGAAAGTTTCTCCTGATTAATGCTTTTATTGGAGTTCTATGGAACATTTAAAAAAAAAAGATGAAACTATGGAAGATGTAACAGTTATACATATGTGCTGTTGATGAATGAATGTTGATCTATAGCAACTACTCAAGACTAATGCAGAATCACAGTCTAAGTACATCACTGTGTCTTTATTTGCATCCATTGGCTTGGAATTATGTCAGCCATTACTGTTAGTTCCAAAGATTAACTGCAATCATCATTCTTACCCACAGCTTTTGGTGGTATGGAGAGATGGAAAAGTACTTTGTCATGTTGTTCTCAATTTAACATAATTTCTATGCATGTCATAAGTTCGTAGGCTTGATGCACTTCAAACAGTAACATAATTTAGCATACCAAATCCTTGCAAGGCTATCAAAATGTTCACTGCCACAGATGATTAGTAACTATGATGTGTGACCTAGCATTTCATCATAACCTGACTTCTTTGGATATCTGCTTGTACTTTCAGCCAGTGGTTTGTCTGCTCCAGTTGACATGATATAACTTAAAGGAGTTACATTGAATAGAAACATCTTAACATACGTTAAACGGACAAACAAAGTATAGTTATTTACTCATAAGAACAATTCATAAGCGATTTTTTTGATGACTCAAAAGCACCAAACAACTGCTAGAACTCCACAACCTGCACATATGAATATCCTAATCCCAGCCTTGAGCTCAGGCTGTGACGTCACAGTGGTGAGCCGACTGCCATTCCCCTTTGTTTACAGTGCATTCATCTACATAACAATGGAGGAATTTTTCCGTTATTCACAGTGGGTGGCAGATGTGAAATGGTATTTGTTTTCTTGGGGTGTTCCAGTCCATCCAAAAAAGGTACAAAGTGTCATTTCTTAAAAATTCCAAGCGTTACGACCAATTTATTGAATTTCGGATACAGCATGAATGGTATACATGGTAAATACTCACAACCATGTACATGACATACACCTTTTAAAAGTCAGCAGAAATCATATAAATAAAGATGTGTGAGACAAGGATAATAACAAATATATTGTACAAGTTTTTGCCTCAGGAACTACTTTTCATAAATAAATTGCAAGGGGGAAAATGGTGTGTGTCAGTTTATTGGATAAACATTATTTCACTGGATATATGTTTATCATCGATCCTCAGTGATCAGTCTGTTAAGGTTGCTATAGAGATAGAAAATAAAGATATGGCATACATTCTTTAGATCAAATATAGTGTCAAAGGTATATTTACGATTAATATTGTCAGTTTTATTTCAATTATTTCAATAATTGTTCTGTTTATTTCTTTCTTTGTTTATGTTTTATTTGTGTGTGTAAAATATGTTAGTTAGTGATATAATGATGTATATTTTGGTCAAAACGAATAGAGTGCTTATTGTAAACTAAATTCCAGCCCAAAGATTTATCAATGAAGTACATGTAATAACTGAACCAACCATCACTAGACACACTAGACACTATGATTAATACATAACATTCATTTGTATATAAAACAAGAAGACAAAGTCATCAATATCCCCCGCAATGGCAAAAGACTCTTCATGATTATGTCTACGAGTTATGATTATGTCAAATACTAGTATTTAGGTGTGTATATAGAAAAGTGGAAGGAGAGTATTTAAAGGTTTTTAAGTTATGCTCCAGAAAGGAGCACTATCACCAATTTCAGTCTATATCAAACTTGTTGCGACCGCCTCCGTGGTGTAGTGGTTAGAGCGTCCGCCCGGAGAGCGGAAAGTCACGGGTTTGATCCCTGACCGCGTCATACCCAAAGACGTTAAAATATGGTACTTGTTGGTCCCTGCCTGGCGCTCGGCATTAATGAGTACAACAAGGACTGGTCGGCTCGGAGTCAGTATAATGTGTCTGAGTGGGGTATCCATGCTTCACTGCGGCATGGTATCTCAGTGGGCTAGCACTATAAAACCAGCTTAAGTCTGGGCTAGTACAAGCAGTCGCACATACACACACACACGCATGCACGTCGTCATATGAGCGAAATATTCTCAAGCACGATGTTAAGTCCAATTTCACCTCACCTCACCTCAAACATGTTGCCATGGAAATGCCAAAAATATTTTATTCAGAAATCCAAACTACCAAAAGGCACCAGTACACCACCAGATCTATGTATGTGCCAAGCTTGGTGAAGAAACATTGAACGGTTTTAGAGTTCTGCTCCGGAAAAGTGCACTACCACTAATTTCTGTTTTAGTCGAACTTGTTGCCGAGGAAATGCCAAAAATATTTTATTCAGAATTCCAAAACTACCAAAAAGGAACCAGTACACCAACAGACCAATCTATGTGCCAAGTTTGGTGAAGAAATGGTGAACGGTTTTAGAGTTCAGCTCCGGAAGAGCACTATCACCAATTTCAGGCTAAGTCAAACATGTTGCCACGGAAAAGCCAAAAATATTTTATTCAGAATTCCAACACTACCAAATGGCACCAGTACACCACCAGATCTATCTATGTGCCAAGTTTGGTGAAGAAATGGTGAACGGTTTTAGAGTTCTGCTCCAGAAAAGAGCACTACCACCAATTTCATTCTCAGTCAAACTTGTTGCCATGGAAACGCCGAAAATATTTTATTCAGAATTCCAAAACTACCAAAAGGCACCAGTACACCAACAGATCTATCTATGTGCCAAGTGTGGTGAAGAAATAGTGAACTGTTTTAGAGGTTCTGCTCCGAAAAGACAAATGTGCACGGACGGACCGAGTCCATTTTAATACCCCCCGCAAAACGCGTTGTGGGGGATAACAAAGTTAGCCTTAGTTCCTGGTTAAATATCCGGCGTTCAGACATCACAAGCAATACTTTTTTTACACCGGTATTTTAAAGCTTCAATTTACACTGTGCACAAACGAGATAAAATAACTGTCTTATGAAAATTAAAAAATATAGATAAGTATCGTCACTTTTTCAATGAACGCAAGGGTAGCGTATAATATTATAATGTTTACATTAAAACACTCCTAGATATACTATTCATTAGTATGTGTGTATACATGCTTACATAAAAATAAATAAACATATGCTCAATTCATGAATTACTTTCTATGTTGGCATAGGTACACACCTCCCACAGTCACACCTAAAACATAAATACTCATGTGTGAAGATATCAGAGATTGTTTATGTTGGAAGTAAGTAACAAAAGTATAAGATCTAGCGTACATTAAGTTTTAAAATCAATAATGAATGGTATACCTTGAAAATAATAAATTTGTGTCTTTCTGTAGTGACATCTGATTAATTGTCTTCACTGATAGATCTACTTCACTTTCTGTTCTGCTGTCAAAACATATTTACAGCTAATATTAATATGTGCAAATGTGTATGGTCATTGTGTGAAAATTCAATATTTTTACTGGTGTTTTTGTCCAGTGATACCAAACGCTAGTTATCTACCAAACACTGAACAGAAGCAGTGAGTCAACTCCCCACTATGACGTCAGGTCACGTGATCCCAAACACTACTCATTAACTCTCGGTAGTTTCCAAAACATGAGTAGTTTTTAAATGATTTCTCTACAAATGTTGACTTAGAACAAAATTCTTCTTAAAGATATTTCTTTTAATATGCTTTATAAATGATTTGATTTCAAATTTTATCCTTTAAATATTGCTGACAACTGTAATGAACAATATTCTTTCACTCATGTTTAAAGATAACTGACTGAAATATATTTTGCATGCCTAGACTAGACTATTGCTAAGTCTCTGAAAATATATAATTTTAATAAAAACAATGAACTCCATTTAAATTAAAAAGGTGAGGTGGGAGATTCTGAACCCAAGGACAATTTAGACTTGCTCCATTTTGGGCTTTTGCATTACAGTTGGGATGGGTGGAATGGAAAAAGTATGGCCCATTCAGTCAAAATCGTATTTATTGTTTGAAGGATTTTCTAGGCCAATAAAAGATTATGATTGCAGTGGGAGAATGTATCGATAAATTAAATCTAAATGACTGACAGGAGGTTACTTATGATAGACCCAGTAAAACATGAAATAGATCTTTGGTTATTACTCAGGCACTCAATTTCTCCATCCCTTTATTCAGTTACTAGTATGTAGATCCTGCTTTCTAAAACAACTTTACACAGATACCCACCTCTGTTGATCAAACTGGCCTCCATCGGTGATGAGCACAGATTCCTTTGGTGTCTTTTTTGAAAGATAACCATCCATCACTGCTTCTCTTGTCTGTGAAAATAAGTATCACAGCGCTACAATTCACCTGATCAAGCATACATTTCTGTTCACATCAACCTATTCAAGTATTTTCTTCATAAATCATTCACACCTCATCAAAAGTATCGCAAAACCAAGCTTTTCCTTAAAATTAGATAGGTGATTGGTAATGAAAAACTACAGTCAAACCAAGGCAATCAAAAGTGTTACTCAAAGTTAAAGGGCAAGTGTACACGAAAGAAATGTGAACCAAAATGGAATTTTGTAATTACTTAATATCAATATTTGAAAATATACACTAATTTTTCTTACAATGAAAGTATAACCCACACTACAAGTGCTGAAAGGTTATGCCATTAGGAGGCCTCTGTTGGCCGGGCTAAACAGGCCAGAGTTACCACCCTTTGATTATGACATAATTGGTGCCAGTTGATTTAGACTGGTCTCCTGTCTGGTCCCAAAGCAAAATATGTAAATACTGACATTAATCACGTGAAGAAAAGTATCTAAAAGTACGAAAGAAGCATTAGAACTGAAAATGTAAACAGCAAGATAGAAATGATCGTGTGCATTTTCATTCATAACCTAACCTCAATGAAAATATAAAATATGTATAACAATGTTGACGTACGTATGACATCACTATCGGACACAACTTTCTCAAAATGGTGTGTTCACCGACACAAGTATGCAGGGTATTTGGAAGGAAACTTTGGATGTTTCAAGCAACGTATATGCATAAATGTGGCATGTAAGTAGTCCGACACATTCTGGTAATCTGTTGGTTGTTAATTTCTTTTTGTTTTCATTGTGACCAAGGGTAATAATTACTAATAGTCAGAAATGAGGAGAAGTACTGTCATCGTTGTGTGTGAGTATGCACCTGTCTTGGCGTCACGCTTTCGGAAACTATAATATATTGTGTTGAATCTTGGAAATAAATGGAATACACCTATTTTTATTCTAATTATCTCTTGCTATGAGGCTCTTCCCATGCGTGTTCTAAAACTCATGAGCAAGTGTATGCAACGAGCAGGCGAACAGATCTCTCACAGTATGAGAAAATGTTACAGTGTAAAATCTGAGATGGGCTTTGTTTACATTTCAAACAAGTGGTCCTTTCCCAGTGCGGCATCTGATATATTTAGCAAAATTTCAGTGAGACACTTGGTATTGGTGACAATTAAAGACCATTTGTCATTTTATTTTGAAATGTAGGAGGAATTCAAGGATTTGTGTAAGGAAGATGGTTTTGAATTATAGTTGTGATGTAATGGGCAAAGCATAACCGACATACATGTAACAAGATTTTATAAAAGTTCACTGCGATTCACATATTGTTCGAGTTTTCCAAAACATTCTCAGAGATTCTCAGTTCATCGGCGATTTCTCAGAACAAGCATTTGTGATTCCATCAAACAACAACAGATACCGGTGATACAGATTTTTAGAAAAAGAAAAAATCCTCCCAGTAAAATTTAAAGTAAGACATACAATAAATAATGCAAAACGCAATGAATGGTGATTCAGTGATGTGTCAAAACTGGCGAGATTTACGATGCATGTAACTTTCAGTAAATTTGCCCTACAATGAGCAGATGATATCATAGAAAAAAGAAATTTAACAGAATTCAAAACTGTGAATTGCATGTATCTTCGTGATGAATTTACATATGGTTTCGACATCAAAGTGAAGGTTGAAGAGGAGGGACATATATTGTACGATTTATGTAAGAATTAAGTACGAAATGTAGAATGCCGGCACACTCACCGATAGGTATGGTGCATATAGGTTTTAGTTTTGATAAAAGAAGATACTGTTGGAAAGGCGACTGACTCCGGTTGAATGATGTACAGTTTGGTTACGCGGTAAAAAGTTTTGCAATGTCATCACAGTGTGGAACTGACCACAAAGCCAGCTGACAGCCAGGCAACAGCTGGATTAAAACAGTAGCCTGCGCATCGACACACAAGAACCACACCTATACCTGCACCACGTGAAATGGGTCTAATAAGGTCCAACAACGTCATTCGTTTATCAGTCGGGCACCAATGACGTCATTTCCAAGGGACATAAGCCATGGTGTGTTTATTATTGACATAGAACTCTAGGTTAATGTGGAAAATATGAATCCATATAACGCAAAAAATAAATTAGTTACTTCTGATATATGTACGGATTTGGATATAAAACTACTTGACAAACACTTTTTATGATGAAAAAGAACAAGACAAAAAGGTTAATTTTCATGTAAACTTGTCCTTTAAATAAGATGTATCATCATCATCATCATATATACATTTGTATAGCGCCGATATCCAGCTCCGCTCAGCTGCTCAAAGGCGCTTTGTTTTTCCCTCGTTCACTGGATGTCAATCTCAACGGCACATCGTATTGTCAATCTCAACTCCCTGGGGAGCATACAAACTCTTGCAGCCACTAGGCGCACCGAGTTATTGTGGCATTCCCATCCTTACGAGGTACCCATTCACAGCTGGGTGCACTGGGACACATAGTCACAGTACTTTGTCCAAGTTCACTGCACGTTGCTGTACCCGCAACTGGGTGTTTGCACGTATTCATGTGGCCACCATCTGGTCATATACCTACGGATTCGTGGGTTCTTTTAAGTGCACAGGGTTGTGTACTGTATGTTATTTTTAATAGGATTTTGTTTGTTTATTGTTTAAAGACACTCAGCAATACTTCAGTTATATGATGTCCATCTATATGGACCAAACAATCCAGTGATTGACATTATGAGCATTGATCTATGCAATTAGGACATGACGACATGCATCAACCAAGTCAGCAAGCCTGAACACCAGATCCCATTAGTCAGATCTTACGACAGGCATAGGTTGCTGAAGGCCAATCCTAACCCAGATCTTAATGGGTATGAGTAATAGAAAAAATGAGATATAAAGAAGAAAAAAAAGCAACTTTGCTAGTTTCTACCTAGCTTGATAAACAGAGGTCATATATGTATGGTAACTGTCAGGAATGAGATGGACAGATCAACACGTATATGCCATAGTAACACTGTACCCATCATAAGCAAATAATCAATTGTGTAAGGTCAATGATTATTATGGTTCCGTGCAGTATGGTACCATGCGATTTTGATCCTCAAAACATTCCTAACAGTGTGCTGGTTGTTTGGGGAATTAGACAACATGAGCCAGAGTGACAAGAAACTAATTACAATCTTAAATATAGCTGGGGTGGCCACAGAGGGTTGGTACAACACTCTATGCTGAGGGCTGGAGCGACCCTGTGTTCGGGAGTCTAAACCATACTGAGGAGGGATTGGGAAAGGCAGGGGCCATGGGCCATTTTGCACATTAGAATAAAAAATGGCCTATTAAAATTTTGAAGTTTACTACTGATACAAGGACAGTGGCCCATTCTAAATATAGAATATGACTAATAATCCTGAAAATGACCCAAAGTCAAAGTTCTCTATCCCAGTCCCTGCATACTGCCTTACATTTTTTACCTTTATTTATTTAAAATTGAAACATTGAAAAGGATATGATTCATTGATAATACAAAATTGGATTTGCCCTGCAATAAAAATAAAATGACCAGAGTTTGTGTTGTGCATCAGCGTGGGGCATTTAGAACTGGCTCTTGTAAGACCAATGAATAGTAAATTTGGTAAATAAGATGTGTTGAAACAGAACACCATTTTCCAGTGATAGAAATTAATAGTGTTTTCAGACTGGCTCTTTGGGCCCCTAGACAAAAACTTACTGGCCCAAGCTTTTTTCTACTGGCCCAGTAAAAAACAAAACAATGCGGTAAAAAAACTCACCTGTATATTAACCAACTGTAGTACAAGTAATGCAAATGCCTATGGTGAGGCAAAACCATTAAAATTCACATCATATATCATAAATGACTATGGTGAGGCATTTTAGAAAATCTTGCTGGGTTTTTGGTCAGTGTGAACAGGCCAAGAAAACTGACAGTCAAGACACCTGGAATATTCTACTTTTGCTCATTTTTTTTATAAGCGTGCTGCTTGGCCCTAAGATTGTCCGACTTCAATTTTTGGGCAGGTGGCTGTACGTTTTCAATAAACCGCCACATATTTCCACCATTACCAATCGTGTGCAATCCTTTACTTCATAAAGTATGAACTTCCGGATTACTATGTTTATAAACGAAAGGAAAGTAGGTAATGAACACGTGTGTGGCAGACCATATTAATAGAGCAAATTGTCAGTGTTACTGACATATCTTTATTATCAGTGATGATAATGACACATAAACTCGTCTCCCACCGGCCGACCATTGGCATGGTTTTAATTCACCCAGACAAAATTCGGTCCACTTACAGAATACCGGATACCTACCAGCCATACTGTTTAGTGTCACATCACCCTAACGCTAACCCTAAACCTTACCCTAACCCTAACCAAAAGTAAACTTGCGTGCTTTCAAAGATGGCGGAAGGTACATGTATCCGTTATTCTGTAATCTTACCCAAAATTCTACTCGCATCGGGCCGTTAATTTCTATCACTGCATTTTCTCCTTTTGATGTGCAGCTTTTACCCAGATCATATCAGCACAAAGTAATTTTTTAACAAAAACATTCATAAGTTTAATACCGTAATGTCACCAATGAACCAACATTCTGATGGTGTATGACAAGCCGGTTTGGTGCATGCCATGGTTTGCCATTTTCCTATTATTCTCGCATTGTATTTGACTACATTCATTTGTACATTACAGAAACAATTTAGTTAGTAGTACATCATATCTTTCAAACATTTACCCACACCGAATTCCTGATAGTACTCAGAGCAGAGTGATGATCGGAATAGTGCAACAATTCTTTAGGATATCCTGACAAGGGCTGAGTCAAAAGGTGCAGAAAGATTAAAAGAAAAAAACCAAAAAAAACCCAACCCTATTCAGGAGGATTATCGACCTGTAGTAAGTGCGCCAGGTTGCAGAAACATTTCATGTCAGCAATAGTTGTGGTTCCATGTGATGTGAACACAGCAGACAATTGACTGGATCTCGTGTAAGCTATTATTCATCGATAGTACAGGTCTAATACGTACCAAATCAGATCCCTGGCTTTCCAATCGCGTAAGTGCTTCATTCTTTCGGTCTAATAGCCGTTGTTTCCTGAGAGCTTCCATGTGATAGCTGTTGGCCATGGTAGTTGACAGATCTGCGGTGTTGACAGTAATAATCAACAAGCAATAACAGTGCAAATGTCTCAACAATGACAGACTTTAAAGGAATCTTGTGCGTAACCTTGTGCCTTGGTCTCTAATAGCAACGGTCATGCGCAATCTTCAAACTCTTAGTTGACTATGTTGTAACAAAATTACCAAACTCTATAAAATTTCTTTTCTATTGTATAAAATGTCAAAATCAATAGGTCAAATTACAAAAAGCAACTCAAAAGGAAAATTATACTTATGACCTAATAACAGTGGCGCCCTGATGATGAATACTTAATGGCAAGTAAGGTACTATTTATGTTTCAAATCATATTAAAGTATTTCACGTTCTGGAAAATTTCGCTCATCGCAGTTTGTATTTAAATTTTGAGTTTACTTTCGCTGAATTATGTAAATTTAATTTTCAGCCGAAAAAATTAATTTACTACAATCGTTGTTGTTTTAAATATCCTCATTGAAAAGGGGGTTACATTTTCTCAGGCGGAGAGTCCCGGTCTGCGCAGACCTCCTCTGCGCATCGTGCATGTGCTACAGGAAAATTTCTCTCATCTAACCTGAATCACCTAAATATTATACTTTTAAACATATTTATATTCAGATGTGTACATAAACTCACTATTTAAATACCCATCATCATCATTTTTGAGGTGAGTATCCAATGGAACCGATATGTGTATTCATGGTAATAGATTCTATGTTTTCCATCTACGAAACCGGTGTGAGAAAACATCTTCCGTGTAAATTTGACATAGCCGTTCTGTATCTTTTGTTGAATGTTACGCACTTGATTTATTATGCATATATCTCTAAATGCCGATTATGAAGTAATGGCCTTTAAATGTGTTTTGATACTGCATGAAATCTATAAGACTGGTGAAAATTGGGGGAATATGAAATCACGTTTTCGCGGCAACATCGAACACAAGACTCGACTGTGGTCCGAGGCTTGCTCAATGTTTTCGATATTCACAATTTCTTGTGGGCTTTTAAGTTCGTATGCCATTGTTTTATAAACGCAAATTTTCGGTCCAACCAGACGTTTGACGATGTTAATTGTTCAGTGAAAATGTTAAGGATAAGTTGAACGGAGTGGAGGGCACCTTTGGTTATGGTCTTCGTAATCACCCCAAGTTGGGAGATGGTTCTGGACACCTAACTGAACAATAGCGTTGTGTCCCCCGTAGATTGTGAAATATATATGAAACATTAATCCATTTTTAAACTAGGCAAGTTACCTTTGGTAAATTCTTAGTTTTTGACTTGTCAGTGCACATTCTAACTTGTTGCTGTAATAGTTCTTTGCCCAGAAATGTTTTTTAGTTTTGCTGTAGATAGTCAAAGGATATACACCTACCAAACCAACTTTATGTGAGTGTTGTGTACCACAATAAAGGTCATCTACTTTTTATGCTGATCATTTAGAGCATGGCATTATTATCAACCATACTTCTGAAATCTCCTTAGGAAACAGTAATGCCTCTTCAAAATTTGTGTTATATGTAGATTTCAGTGCAAGTTTGAAATCTTACGGTGATTGATATATTTGGTTTCCTGTTGTGTCCTGTATTTGTGTTAACTATAGGAGCACCTTTACATTCAGCAAGACAGCTCCTTGTGAGGTTAATCACTATACCAGGTCACATTCACATTGTGTTGTATTTTCTATGCAAAACTCAGTTGGTGGGGTAGCCTAGAGGTTAACGTGTTTGCTTGTCACGCGGAAGACCTGTGTTTAATCCACCACATGGGTACTATGTGTGAATCCCATTTCTGGTGTCTCCTGCTGTGATATTGCTAGAGTATTGCTGAAATCAGCATAAAACCATATTTACACACTGCAAAATTATCATACAAGTATTGTTGAAGTTAGGAGGCCCAGATATGTTTACCATGTTCACATTCTAGAAAATGGTACATGAAAAGCATTTTCTCGATTAGACAAAATATACATAAACTGTTATCTACTAGTTTCATATTTAGTATGAAAATTTTCTCACGAGTGAAAGTAATGTCTGGTGAAAGGTGTCCCCTCTTATTACATATAGCTGGAAGGTCATTGATAACTTATCGTAAAACCATCTTGAACCTCTGGGATGCCTAATTATTTCAAAGGTGTTATTGCTTATTCCTGTGTCATATATTTGCTTTATTTATCAGTTGCTTCATTTGTATTGAAATATTTTTCAGCATTCTGTTATAGTCAGGGAAGGTGCGGGGCTGTGGGGTAGCCTAGTGGTTAAAGCGTTCGCTTGCCATGCCGAAGACCTTGGTTCGATTCCCCACATGGGTACAATGTGTGAAGCCCATTTCTGGTGTCCCCTGCCTTGATATTGCTGGAATATTGCTAAAAGCGGCGTAAAACCATACCCACTTGGGGAGGTGCCTTTTACATAAACTTTTTGTTTTTGAATCCCTGAAAGTGAAAGGAATAAAACCTGTTGGACAAGAAATATCTTTTATGTATGTATGGATTTGTAATACCATTTTTTGTTGTTGTTGATTTGCTTTGTGGAATTGGTGATTAAGGTGTATTGGTTCAAACACTATCATTTATCTGTCTGGGTTTAATACAGTGTTTCCAATAAAATCTTCACCAAATGTTCTTATTCCATTTTCTTCATATTCCTTTATCAAGTTAGCTCTTTTGATTTTGCTAGCTCTAGCATTCTATATAAACTAGAAGAAAGTTATGTTCTTGCTTTGTTATGAATCCCTGTGGTGGTTTGGAGAGAGAGAATATATGTACTACAAAAGGTAATGCAAAGGTCTATGACTAATTTTACCTATTAAAGTTAATCTCCTTGGGCTTGCTAGTAGTCTTTGATTATAGGAAAAAGATGACAGATGGCTAGTGCTGGTTATCACTCACAGTATGCAGATCGATAATCAGAGCTCAGTAATCAATCAAGAATTGATTGTAATTGTAAACCCCATGGCAGACTTATTTGGGCAGTTATGAGACACGGTCGTAAGATTGTGCAAACGAAACAGGCACCGATTAATGCCACGGTCAAGGATACTTCCTGTTGAGACATGCACGCAAGTATATTTAAATTGCAGTTTTATGAGTCAGAGAAACTGCATCAATTGTTTATGATCTTGATTTAACAAGCATAACAATAAGAAACATACTTTCTGGAGTTTAATTTGGTGTTTCATTTTTATGAATATCAATTAGTCTCATGAACCCATTACTGATCACTGACGCAAGCAAGATCGATCAATTTACTGATTATGCGATCAGTTGCTCCTGCACTACAGATGGCCACTTTGTATTACACACAACATTGCCTGGTTTGTTAATATACTGAACAGCAAAAGAAACGCAAGTTTCGAAAAAATGAAATTTTCATGAAGGTAAGCGTTCATGTTTATGGAATGTTCATGGTAAAGTGACGTCATGATCCCCGATGAGATGTCATGCAATTTGACGTCCATACGAAACACTGGCACAAACACAACCACAGTGCACCAAAACCATAATTTAAGCACGTGCATCGACGGATGGAAAGTATGCATTTCACTCTGAGGTATCCTTTATAAAGGTTTGTGTCAAAAAACAGTTCAGCATTGACGCTAGGAGGTGTACACGCCACACAAACAATGCCTAGACTAACGACTGAGCAGAGGGGAATGGTCATTGGAAAGTTGCACGGAGGTAGCTCTGCAACCGCTGTAGTAGACAATTGGGCTGTCATTTTACCACCATTAATCGACTTGCTCAACGTCATCAGCAAACCAGGGTTGCTGCTGATAGTCCCTGTACCGGACGGCAACGAGTGACAACTCATACGCAAGATCGGTTCATCCGGGTCACTCATCTAAGGAACCGAACTCAAGCAGCAACAGTAACAGCAGCCTTAGTTCTTGGGTCAAGGGGAGCAGTGTCCAGCGATACGATTAGGCGTCGTCTTCGGGCTGCTGGAATCCACTGCCGAAGGCCATTTGGCACGTCAACAACGCCAATGACGTTTGCAGCCCTCACACAGCAAGGTTGTCGATGGATTGTCTGGCTCAGAACAACATTAACATTTTGCCATGGCCGTCTCTTTCCCGGATATGGCTCCCATTGAACATTCTGGGACGAAATTGGACAGAGGATTGGGGCAGGTAGACAGCCACTCACACTTGCACAATTGGAATAGAGATTGGTGTTTGGGCGGAACCAATTGCCTCAGGCATCCTTTCAGACTCTAGTGAACTCAATGAGGCCATGTTGCACGGCCTGTGTGCAAGCTCAAGGTGGCTACACGCGCTACTAAAGGGACTGTCACTTTTCACGTTCAGGGGTATCTCCATTTGACGGACTGTGATCAATTTGAACTTATTGCAATTCAATGTCAACAGCAACTTTTAGCTGTTAAATTGACAGTGTTTTCTATAGAATAAATGATTAGACATGATTTTGGTTGTCTTCTATTCAAAAACTAGACAAAAAGCCAGACTTGCGTTTCTTTTGCTGTTCAGTATATATATGGATCCACCTAAACATGTTGGGACCAAATCCACTTTTTTCTGGTACTTTCATTCTAAATATTTTTGACACTGTCAAGTCTTTTCAAAGTTGATATTAAAGAAGTATTATTTCTTTTCTTATTTCTTTATTTGTTTCATACATGACCATGTCTTTGTTAGGTTCAGGGCGCCATTCAGGGGTGGAAATAACCCATTGCCTGATGTCCGAGTCCAGTGTTTTTTTCTTTTGGGCAAGCAAATTTGTATGTCACACTGTACCGGTGTCCAGTTGCCTTTCCAATATTAATTATGTTGTTTATATAAAAATCAGCAAGAAAACAGTTGGTAAAGTGGAAAAAATATTAGGGCAGGTGACTTTACATGTGCCACTGTACCGGAGTACACTATCAATTTTAAAGTTATTTCCACCCCTGCCATTTAATTATACCCCTGCTCATTGATGTGGTTAATCTATTAATATGGAATGAATAAAATATGTTTAAAACAATTAAGATGGAATGCTTCTTTGATAAATCTATAGACCCCAATTCCTAGGTCTTTCCAAAAGAATTTTAAAAAACTCAGTTGGGAAGCTGTCAATACCTGTACTTTTAATATTTTTCATGTTATTTTTCTGCTTTCGATATTTGTTCAAACTTAATTTGTCTTTCAGTGGCATTTAGAAGTTGTACATTGATGTTCAAGATATTTTTATGGATTAAACTTCTTTTTAATTTGTCTCATGACGTTTCGAGACCATTCCAGGTCCCTTCATCAGGTGAACTGGTTTCGAGACCATTCCAGGTCCCTTCATCAGGTGAACTAGCCAGTTCACCTGATGAAGGGACCTGGAATGGTCTCGAAACGTCGTGAGAGAAATAAAAAAGAAGTTTAATCCATAAAAATATCTTGGACATTAATTTGTTGTTCAATAATGAGCTGCTTGTTTAATTTTGGTGTTTTTATGAACTTAAGATGTTCGTCACTTTTTCATTTTCTTCATTGTCTGGCAGAAGTGTGGTAGAATTTCATTTGTTCCTCATCTCCAAGAGTTATGTCCTTTCCATTTTCATTTATCAGTTTGCATATAAGTTCAATGGTGAAATTTCTGTTTTCTAAGTGGCAGAAGTAGCTTGTTGGATTTGAACCCTCTTCATACTTGATTCCATTACTGATTTGTATTGATCTATATTCTGCTTTGTGTATCTTTTCATGAATGAGTTTAGTTTTGTGCTGCTTTCAGCAATATCAGAGCAGGGTCACCAGAAATGGGCTTCACACATTGCACCCATGTGGGAAATCGAACACAGGTCTTTGGTGTAACAGGGAAACACTTTAACCACTAGGTTACACAACCACCTGATTATTTGTTAATGATCCTGTACTTGACTGGTGCTGTTGTAGGAAGGATGGTTGCCCCTTATTAATGATCCTATTTCCTCTTTCAGATTTTGTCAAACTTAGAGTCAAAGTCATGGTCATGGAAACTCCTAGTCCACAATGTGTTGGCCGTGAGTTCGTGAGGCAGTACTACACCCTGCTTCATGAGGCTCCGGTCCATCTTCACAGGCAAGTACTTTTCAAACCTGTCCACTCAAAAGGGAAACTTGTTTCTCGACATAATCAAAAGCTCTCAGTGTCAGTTTAATTCATATTGACATTGTTAAATGAAGATCCATGTGCCGTAAGGGAACACTTGCAACTTGTATAATCACAGTTTGTTTTAGTAAAGAACCTTGTGATGACTTCTATCATTTGAAGGCTACAAATGTTTTATAAAAATCTGATATTAGTTTTTGATACCACACAAAGATCTGGGGACATCACATAAAGAGGTGAATGTTTTGCAAAGTTTGACAGTCAAATGAATGACAAAAGTCAACAGCAGCCAGTCTGAAAGCAGAATTCTCTAGCTATTCATCACCTGCTTTAGACGATCGACTATGCTTTAATAAATATTGCAACAAATTCTCAACTCAGAATTTGGAAATTGAACTAAAGAACATTCTTTAATGGTCTACACTGTTTCACGTTTTGAGGTTGCATTATTAGAAAACACATTCTAACTGTCACTTTCATCATCTCGTAAGCAAACCACTGATTAGTCAGATGAAAGGTCACTCCAAGGTTAACAGTTTCAAGAACTAACATCTGATTTCAAGCCATTCAACAAGAGTCCCCAGACACTGTAGGCCGGTAAACCGGCCAGGCAGTAGTCGCATCAAAATTATATATAATTTTAGGAACCTAACTAACATATGATTGTTTTATCAAATCTATCACTTTTCACAATGTCTGAAAACACTTATTAAATTTCAAATGACCATATATTATCGACAGGATTAGAATTGTAAACTATTTTTTGCAATGTTATTGAAAAAAAAAAAATTCTCGGACACATGCTTCGGCAGCGGGTCCACAATAACATTGTCAAAGAGCAAAGTAACAATATTTCCAGGAAATCATTAAATAAATTGAATAAACTAATGAATAAAATCAACAATAGCATTCATAAAAGATGTCAAAAGTACATATAAAATTACTATTTCCATCTTTTTGTGCGATCATGTAATGTAAGTCAAGTCACTGACAAGTGACATCTCGGCTCTCGCCGCCTCAATCTTCACGCTTGGACACTATGTTTAATGTGAAAATAATGCATGAAGCATTTTTGTCACAGGTCATAACCTAGCACGATACGTCCAATAAGTTCCATAATATACGTATAGGTAGCGATTTCTTGCTTAACTCTTTCAACACCAGTCAACCAGAGGCATTTACTGCCGTGACACCGAGTTCCCAGAGACCCTGAGGTCATAGATGAAGCCTATGTTTATGAAGGAAATTATAAGCTTGTAAAACGTTATTACTACTACATCCCATACACCATTTAAAAGATCTAATCCTACTGTTGATAAATATGAAGTTTATTTTTATAATATTATTCAAATAATACAACTACAACTTAAATAAATGTATTTTTGAATGAAAATGCAAGCTTACATTTATAACGTCCAGATAAACCACGAAAGAAGCAAAAACTATGGCGATTTTTTTCCATTTGTGACATGTGATAACATGCCCGTGCCTTTTCTTTTATATTTTCATTTTACGTCATCAGAAAATTATTATAAAAAGATTTCTTAAATAATATGTATGGTCAGCCTATTTCCCGATATCTGTGGCTTTCGGCGCCGGTTACATGACATAACAACGGAAAATACCTCCGTTTTGAAGCCATTATGCATAACATGCGAGGCTTAATTGTTTGATGTCGGGCATCGCTCGAAAAGCTCTGAACATCAACAATATCACTGTACCCTTGCCAAGAGTATTTTCACAGTTGTAAGAAGCGATTTTATTGGATAAAGATTGGTTTCTAATGACGCTTTTTCGCCACAGTCTGCTATAAGGGTCGTGATTGGTCAAATCAGACACATGACCTAAGGCAACCAATCATATTACGACAATGGATACCGTCCTCGTAAACGAAAATCTTCAGATTTAGACAAAAGTTTTGGGTAAAATAATGCTATTCTGAACATATTAAGCAAGAAAAATCGCTACCTGTAACGTAAATTATGGAACTTATTGGACGTATCGTGCTAGGTTATGACCTGTGACAAAAATGCTTCATGTATATATTTTCGCATTAAACATCGTGTCCGGAAAGTGAAGATTGAGGCGGGAGAGCCGAGATGTCACTCGTCAGTGACTTGACTTGCATTACATGATCGCACAAAAGATGGAAATAGTAATTTTATATGTACGCGTTTGACAACTTTTATGAATGTTGTTGTTGATTTTATTCATTAGTTTATTCAATTTATTTAATGAATTCCTCGAAACATCGTTACTTTGCTCTTTCACAATGTTATTGTAGACCCGCTGCCGAAGCATGTGTCCGAGAATCGTTGTTTTCAATAACATTGCGAAAAATAGTTTATAATTTTAATTCTGCTGATAATATATGATAAATTGAAATTAAATAAGTGTTTACAGACATTGTGAAATGTGATAGATTTAATATATGAATCATAAGTCAGGTAGGTTCCTAAAATTATGTCTTATTTTGACGTGACTACTGCCTGGCCGCTTAATCGGCCTCCGGTGTCTGGGGACTCATAACGTTGTGGCCGCTAAAGCGGCCTGCGGTGTTGAAAGGGTTAATATGTTCAAAATAGCATTATTTTACCCAAAACTTTCGTCTAAATCTAAAAGTGTTCGTTTACGAGGACAGTATCCATTGCCATAATATGATTGGCTGCCTTAGGTCATGTGTCTGATTTTGACCAATCACTACCCTTATAGCAGACTGTAGCGAAAAAGCGTCATTAGAAACCAATTTTTATCCATTAAAATCGCTTCTTACAACTGTGAAAATACTCTTGGCAAGGGATCAGTGATGTTGTTGATGTTCAGAGCTTTCGAACGATACCCGACATCAAACGATTCGCCTCCCATGTTATTCATACGAAGCTTCGAAAACGGAGGTATTTTCCGTTATGTCATATTACCGAGCGGAAAGCCACAGATATCGGGAAATAGGCGACCATACATATTATTTAAGAAATCTTTTTATAATAATTTTCTGATGACATAAATGAAAATATAAAAGAAAAAGGCACGGTCATGTTATGACATGTCACAAATGGAAAAAAATCGCCATAGTTTTTGCTTCTTTTGTGGTTTATCTGGACATTATAAATGTAAGCTTGCATTTTCATTAAAAAATAAATTTATTTAAGTCGTAGTTGTATTATTTAAATTATATTATAAAAATAAACTTCATATTTATCAACAGTGGGATTAGATCTTTTAAATGGTGTATGAGATGTAGTAGTAATAACGTTTTACAAGCTTATAATTTCCTTCATAAACATAGGCTTCATCTATGACCTTAGAGTCTTTGGGAACTCGGTGTCTGGGCAGTAAATGCCTCTGGTTGACTGGTGTTGAAAGAGTTAAGGAACACCCTATTATATACATGTGTATGTATGGTTTGTGCAATGCAGACTGTAAACTTGTATGAAACTCCTGAAGTCAATAAGTTGGACATATGTTCAGGTTAGTCTGGGAATCATTTATGGAATATTGCACTTAAACTATTCAGATTTCATAAGATTTTGTATGCACACCAGGCATGTTTCTATTCAGAAATTTCTTATACTTCAATTTAGCATTTTCATGGAACCAAGTTAGACAGATGTTCCAAATGATTACTGGAGCACACCCGATCAGCTGTATTATCCACTGCCACAAACTAGAGCAGGAGATACAGGAACTGATTTCAAATTTCCAACAAGGAAACAAGTTAACTTTCACTCCACAAAATGGATTTTAATCCAAACTCATAAACCAATCAAATTCTGTTTGTGAAAATTTGTAAGCACATCAGATATACATCATACAAGTATGCTTGGTCATGCTTTTGATGTGTTTGCGACATTGTCCCAATACAGAATGACATCTTGTGTATAATGCAGTGTTCATTACAATACAAACAAAGTTCCCAACATAATAAAGTATTTGAATTGTTTCCCATTTCCTATTTTGAAACAGAATGATAAGAATTGAAAATATTTCATGTTACAATGTACCATTGCTTATTTATTCACTGAGGAATAATGAGTGTGATTTGGTCAAGTCATCAATCATGTCTGCTGTTCAGAAAAGCTTTAGAATTACCATTGTTTGGTGTGTTGAGATATACAACTTACATTTTGTTATTCAAGTAAATGTTTACAAAGGCAAGAAATAGCAAAGATTTTATCTTCTATTGCTTGTGGTGAAAGTGTTCACTAGTCATGCTGAAGGGTTCGATTCCCCACAGGGGAACAATGTTTGAAGACCCGTTTCTGGTGTCCCTGGCACTGATGTTACTGGAATATTGCTAAAAGTGGCATAAAACTAAGCTCACTCACTCTATTGCTTGTGAATTTATGCAAATTTTACTGAAATGTGCATGTGGATTTTTATGATATCTTTTGTTCAGATCAGTATATTTTAGCTAGTTAGGTCTAGCATTAAGCGGAAAAAATATTTTGATATCAATCCTTGCAGTAGTGGCTCTTTGACAACATTGCCAAGGCACTATTTTTCTCCAAGATTGTCTGCCAGAGGCTCACAGTTTCTAATCCTAATTGCCTGATCATTTCAGAACTTCAAAAGGTCTCACTGATATATTTTGTCTTCAGATTTTACAGTCACAACTCCTGTTTTGTGCATGGTGGAGTTGAAAAGCCAGGGGAAGAGCAACCTCCTGTGATGGGACAAGCTGTGAGTATACAATTTGTCTCTTTTCCCCAGTTAAATTGAATGCACATTTGCTTGTTACTCTACACGCTTTGTGTATGGCAAATGGTGTAAATAGAAAAGTACATTCTTGCACAAGGATTTATGGACACTTTGACATGGAAGATTTTTTGTGATGACAGACAAACCTGGGTTTATTGCTATGGAAATAGGACAGAGTAGTATAGACCAGATTTGGTCTCGGAATCGAGTATCATCATGGCCTGTCAGTTGAGAGATGTAGAAGCAATAACGTTTTACAAGTTTATATTTTCCTTCATAAACATCGGCTTCATCTATGACCTTAGAGTCTCTGGGAACTCGGTGTCATTGCAGTAAACGCTTCTGGTTGACTGGTGTTGAAAGAGTTAAAGCATACCTTATGAAAGAACTTCAAACAATTTTGATGCTATGACTGGAAGAATTATATGTCAAACTATTATTGTATCAGGATTAGTGTTTTCCAGTATTGTTATTTTAGTTGCAAAGTTTAATGAATATTTTCAAAGTAATCTGGTGCATAGCACTTTAGTACAGCTCATCATTATGGGCAGATATTATTTTAGGATGAAACTATTTGACAAGTCCCAGATGAAGCTCCCATAAGGGATGCCCATATTCTGTCAGTTTAATTTAGTTTCAAGGCATCAAAAGCATTAATTGAGAATTGCTGCACTGCCGAAGCCAAGTAAGAACTTGAAGTGAGCTCTGTCGTAAAGCAACTAGTGACACGTTTGTTTTTTCTAGGATATTCACAAGAAGATCATGTCTCTCAACTTCCGAGATTGCCATGCAAAAATCCGTCAGGTGGATAGTCAGGCGACAGTTGGAAATGCGGTTGTTGTGCAGGCAAGTACTATTTGTTACTCAAAGTGTATCTGATGCCTCTTTCACATAAAGTCCTCTTTTTTCAGGTTAATGGTGAAGCCTAGGTCAAAACCATCACTTTTCCAGCCCTATCTTTTTATTTGGAGTATTCAGATGGGCATACTGACTCTTAAAAAAGATTTTCAGTGACAAGTTGTCTCATGTCGGTTATCTATCATTTAAATGTTTTTCATTCTGCACTGAAGGACGTGTCCCCCTAAGCATTACAAGGCTTTTTTATGTCTTAAGTTTACTAGTACGATGAACATTTGTAGGTCACCTGGCTGAAAGATAAGCGGGACTTGTTTGACTGCTTGACAGTCCATGCTACATCTCTGAAACTCTAAGGCATATTAGAATGAAACTTTGTTTGAATGATACTGATAAGGTGTAACTGAAAAACTGCTTTTATCTGATATTAACTGGTTTTGCCCATATTTTGTTCCATTTCTTTCTGAAATTTGACATGAATCATGTTTGTGGTATGTGTAATAATAAACAATACATTTTCCTGCATATATTGATATCTGATCAAGCTACGACCTTTGATGTTGTTTAGACCCATAAAGATCTGGGTAAGAATTGATCTTCAGTAACCCATGTTTGTCGTAAGAGGCGACTACAGGGATTGGGTGGTCAGGCTCACTGACATAGTTGAAACATGTCATTGTATCCCAATTGCGGAGATTGATGCTCATCACTGGAATGTCTGTTTCAGACTCTTTTATTTACAGACCACCACTATACAGCTGGAATATTGCTGAGTGCTGCGTAAAACTAAACTCACTCTCACTTGATCTTGTGTTCTAGTTATGTCAGTCTGTACGTATTTGGGCCAAACAATGCAATGATTGTGAAAGGCCCATTAGTGCTGCAATGGTTCGGTTCGGTTAGATTCATTGAAAATCGAATCTGATGCCTTAATTTTGATTTTCGATAACCATTTTCACTATTTCGATTTGATATTTGAATGCTGTTCTGTGTTTAAACATCATACTGTAAACATACTTTTTTTTCGCTTGGTGCAAATTTCGCGGAATTGACTGTTTAGACTATATCGCACGGTCAATTATTCGCGCAATCAATAATTGCCGGAACTGCCAGCTGTCTCTCTACTCTTAGGCCACCACTAATAGCAATGAAAACAACCAGAGTGGCTTAACCTGTCAGGTGGCGTATATTGCTTTACTCACAGGAAATCCCTACCTGCGTGATATATACAGTAATATGTATATACAATATAATATGGAAGTATTAAGTACTTAGGAAGTGAGATATTGTGATGCAAATATAAAGAGATGAAAAACACATCAGTCTTATGTTCCGAATTCTGACAATCTGACGATGGCATTGCAAATGTGGTTAAAGAAAGCACCCACCCCCAAGATTGATGTGTTAATTGACTATCAAGGAAATGAACTTCTACCGTCTATGAAGCTTTTTGTGATTTCATTTCATATGCAGGAATAAATATAAATAAAATCTTAATGAATAAATAAAATACTGCTGTATTATTTCTTTCCCAGTTGTTTCATGGTAATCAGTTCTGTATCAAACCATCTGTCACTACGATTGGTCAAAATAGAACATGTGACCAATTTCAATGGCGACCACAACACACATTGCTGTTTTCACTAATTCGGCAATAGGATTTGGCTCATTATTTATTTTCGGGACATGATTTGGGAAATCCATTACAGCGACAGTCATTTTATGATTCCTGTAGATTTCTGTCTTCAAACTTGATGTGTTATGGTAACAACTCAGAGGCCTGTATGAAGAATCGAATAAAAAATGAGGGGCGGTGGGGTAGCCTAGTGGTTAAAGCGTTGGCTCGTCACGCCGAAGACCCAGGTTGGAATCCCCACATGGGTACAATTTGTTAAGCCCATTTCTGGTGTCCCCCGCCGTGATGTTGCTGGAATATTGCTAAAAGCGGCGTAAAACCAAATTCAGTCAGTCAGTCGAATAATAAATGATCGAATCGAGGGTCCAACATCGAATCGTTGCAGTCCTAAGGCCCATCAATCTAGGCAATTATGATATGATGACATTCATAGACAAATCTGACCACACATGTTCAACAAGCCTGATCACCTTCACAGTTGTCATTTACAGCGAGCATGGGTTAATGAAAACAAATCTAACTTGGGCCTCCACAGGAGTGTTAACCTTTCATTTGTTTTTATATTGTTCTGCTTTTTCACAATTTAGTCAAGAATGTACGGTAAACTGTTTCCTTGTGATTTGTTTGAGTGGCATTCTAGAAGTTGGGATAGAAATGACAACTTTATGGATGATCAACTTCTTTATTTTATAATGGCGACGTTTCAATATAGATTCTTATACCGTGTGATATGCTAGTTAACGGTATAAGAATCTATACTGAAACATCGCCATTATAAAATATAGAAGTTGATCATCCATAAAGTTTTGTCATCGCACTTTCCTTGTGAGTCTGTAACAAATTGCTTGGAAATGGTATTCATTTCATGACTGTTTGAGAGCTCACTACCCTGATTGAAATTATTAGTGGCATTGTGCCGAAGGCACAGCTAAAATTGAAATGGCACAGTTAATTGATTACTTGCGTGCCCTTATGGCACACTTGGCTTGTTAGCAAAAGTGTATTTTTTCACCGTTCATATCTTGTAGGATTTAACCCTTTTAACACCTCAGGCGGAAAAATCGGCCACAACGTTATGAGTCCCCAGACACCGTAGGCCGATTAATCGGCCAGGCAGTAGTCATGTCAAAATGAGACATAATTTTGCGAACCTACCTCAGACACTTATTAAATTTCAATTGATCATATATTATCGGCATAATTAAAATTAAACTATTTTTCGCAATGTTATTGAAAATGATTCTCGGACAGCAGGTCCACAATAACATTGTCAAAGAGCAAAGTAACGATGTTTCCAGGAAATCATTAAATAAATTGAATGAACTAATGAATAAAATCAACAATAGCATTCATAAAAGTTGTCAAACATACATATAAAATTACTATTTCCATCCTTTTGTGCGATCATGTAATGTAAGTCAAGTCACTGACGAGTGACATCTCGGCTTTCGCTGCCTTAATCTTCACGCTTGGACACTATGTGTAATGCGTAAAATATATGCATGAAGCATTTTTGTCACAGGTCATAACCTAGCACCACATGTCCAATAAGTTCCATAATTTATGTATAGGTAGCGATTTTTTGCTTAACCATTTCAACACCAGTCAACCAGAGGCATTTACTGCCCAGACACCGAGTTCTCAGAGACTCTAAGGTCACAGATGATGTCTATGTTTATGAAGGAAATTATAAACTTGTAAAACATTATTGCTACTATACTAGGCACATAAAGAAACTGTGCATACAAAAATTTAAAATCTAAATTTACAAAACCTGTGTAGACACATAAGGATTTAAACTCAGAGATTAGTCACATGTATCCAACATGCATGCACGTTCCGTGACGTCAGTGGGTTCGTCTTTGAGACGTGCAATACGTTGTTGCACGTGCATTCCGGGAAAGAGAAACAGAGCAAATGAATGCCACACGATACTGTCACTTTGGAAAGCTCAGCCCCTGCCCCTGCGATTGTTCAAAAAATTAACGGCTATTGAAACGCATAGCATGCCATGGCTCACGTCTGCACAACGTCATGAGGCCATTGGGATGGTCCGTGGGGGAATGTCTCAACGACAAGTGGCTGCACATTTCCACTGCTACTGGAACACCATTTCTGCACTGGTGAGACGCTACCAGAACACACATGACGTCATCGATTGGCCACGTTCTGGACATCCACGTGTAACAACGCCAAGACAGGACAGATGGATAAGGGTGACCCATCTGCGCCACAGGTTTCAGACTGCAGTAATGACTGCCCGAACCATCCCAGGACTTCGCCGTATCCACCCCAACACAGTTCGACAACGTTTACGTCATCACGGGATCAGACCACGACATCCCGCCATACGGCCTATCCTGACACGTCATCGACAAGCTCGCTGAATGTGGTGCCGAAATCATGTCCGCAGACCCTTGTTTTGGTGGAGAAATGTTGTTTTTACAGATGAGTCCAGGTTTAACATTTCCCATAGTGATGGACGTCAACGTGCCTATAGACGCGTGGGAGAACGTTGTGCACAGGCCTGTGTCTTGGAGAGGAATCGCTTTGGTGGTGGTTCCGTGATGATTTGGGGTGGAATAACAGCACGGCAAAGAACTCCTTTGATGATTGTTCAGGGCAACTTAACTGGTGTGGGCTACAGGGATCAGATTCTTCAACCTGTGGCAATTCCTTTTCTGCAACGTCATGGCCCTGGGTTAACATTCCAACAGGACAATGCCCCGCCCTCATACGTCAAGGGTTGCTATGGATTTCTTGCAACACCACAACGTTGACTTACTGCTTTGGCCTGCAAATTCACCGGATCTCTCCCCGATAGAGCATGTTTAGGACGAGATGGATCGACGTCTACGCCGTCTTCCTCAGCCACCAGATAACGTCCTTGACCTTGCAACTGAACTTGAGAGAATCTGGCGTGACACCCCACAAGCCTTCCTTGCACGTTTGATAGGCTCTATGCGTTGTTGATGCCGATGGTGGACATACCCGTTACAGTGTTCACGAATGGTGTTTCAAAGTAACAGGACATTGGGTCCTGTAAGTTTCAGATGTCTGTCTGACCCATTGAAAATTCACAGGGCCCATAGAATATAATTAAACACACATTTCAGATTTAACATTTCTTATAATTGGCATTGAAATTATAAACAAACATAAGATTTATAAACAGCAAACAAGTGACACATGTCACATATAACAACTTCAGTCAAAGTCATTGTGAAATATACAGTCAGACACTGGGGCTGGCGGGTTGTAGACTACTGTCGGACCGTTGGCAAATCTGCCAGATTTGTCAGAGGGTCAGATGCTATTCGTGAACACTGACCCGTTATTGAGCTTGTGACATGGTCGTT